CACACGTTCTCCACACTCACCTAAGGACAGCGCTGGAACACGCGACAAGTCGGACTCTTTACATGAAAACACTGGTTACATGTGAACCCAGCGACCAGCCTGGTCATCAAACGTCTCCTCTGTTAGTCACCGTATATGTGAGCCAACGAGGTCGCCGAGTCAGAGCTCAAAATATTTACAAAGGGATTCTTCAGTCACAGTTTCTGCTCCCAGAATTTACTAGGCTCACTCCACTCACTTTAAATTATCAATATGAGAAAAACAACTGTTCTCCTTAATTAGGTTACAGCCTCTTCTGCCATCCTGGCAGGACCAGCCTTCTCCTGCAGGGAAGAGCCAGCGGTCAGCACCACAGCGCGAGGGCGGCGGGGAGGCCACGGGAGGAACGGCCCCGGTTCCGCCGGGTGCGCGGGGGCCGCCACCTGCACGGGGAACTGCCGGCTTGTGACGCAGCACAGATGCTGCTGATTATATACGTTTAGCCTTTCCTTCCTGAAAATCGCACACCACCAAGGGAAGAAATGCCCGGCACCAGAACCTCCGCGCCTGGGTGACAGCCTAGGACGACTGTGCGGGGCCCCATTTTCGGGCTTGGCTGGGGGCCAGCAAGGAAGTGCATTCGGGGAGCTTGGACCCCTCCCTCAGCGGGGCCCAGGCCAGGCCCTCGGGAGCCCACGGTGGACAGAGGCTTCCGGCCTAGCTGCACTGATGAAGGTCATGGACAGACGTGCTTGGGGGCCTGTAAGAGGCTCCATGGGAGGCGTGAGCAGCACGCGGCTGTCCCTGGCTCACCACCACCTGCCCTCCGCCCGCCCTGGACGCAGACCTGGGCGGCTGGCTGGCAGTGTCAGCAGCTCCCACACTCTTTGGCTTCTGGCTGGGCTGGTCAAGGAAGCGGCGGCAGGGACCAGAACAGGGAGGAGTGAGGTTAGACGCCTCCCCTGGGCTCCCTCACCCTCTGGGTCACCAGGGCTGCACACGTCCCTCTGTTGAAGGACACAGCTCCTGACGGGAGGCCTTCCCCAGACACCTCCCTCGCTGGCCACTCCTGTTACACCCCTGGGGTCCCACACCATACCCACCCCTGCCTGCGGCCCTGCAGACAGCCCCCTTGGAGACTCCCATCAGTGACCCAGTCAGAGGCGCCATGTTTTCCCCGATGGAATTAGCTGACTTTCGGTGGAATTTTGTTTTTCTTATACTCTAAAGAGATCTGAGTCTAGTCATCTGTTCCAAGGGGGTATGTCAAAAACCACACGATCCAACTATTCTACAGACTTCATTTCACCTAGAGAACTTTTTGTATCTGCGATTGTAACTTTTCAGAATGAGGCCAAGCTAAAGGGAATACACTGGTAAGTCATAGTGCCTTGCAGGAAAGAGAAATGGAATTTTTTTATCATTAAAATTAAACAACCCTCTAAAAATATACAACTAGCTTTAATTTCAAGAACAGAATGCTTAGTTTTGATGGTTTCCACAATATTCTTTGATTAATAGTCGTTTAGAGTATTAAAAAACATTGTACACTATTGAACCTACACTGATCTCAACTGCAGGACGCATTCTGACTTCAGAGATGTTAGATGTGAAAAAAAAAAATGTGTGCTTTGGATACAATGAATAGAGCCTGTCTCACAGGAATGACTCAGGTAGAGTTTGGTAGGTAACTCTCTTCTGGGGACAAATGATACATTTTCTTTTCTTTTACAGAGAACTTGTTTTATTTCCTTCTGGAAAGATGTCATGGCCATGGCATTTCAGAGACAATACTCTTACCTGCAAAGGGAGGGACACTGTCTTCTCTAACCCTCAGTGTTGAACTTCTGAGCATGTCACCCTACTGGTCATCACTCATGGGAGATGCTCTTGTGGTTTGTACTTTGGGGGCTTCTCTGGTGCTGGGAGTCTGCGTCTGCGTCACTGCCCTGGCAGAAAGGCCCTTAAATGACCAGGCCCACGGGTGCTGCGGGGTTGAGGACCTGACCCAGCCTTGTCCTGGGCTGTTGCTTGGCTCACAAGGCACAACCCCAGTAGCTCAGGAAGCGGACTGGAGACATCGCAGGCGTCCAGGAAGCTCACAGTCACTGCTCACGCTTCCTTCAAACTCACTGGAGGGCTGGGACGCTGACGTGAGCCGACAGCCCAATTAAGGATGCAACCACTACTGATTTACTTCCAGGCTGCATCTTATTCACGCAGTTTCCACTCTGTCAGTAGGTGGGTGGGATAATTAACAGGCATAAAATGTGTGTAATGTAGTTATAATCGGGGGACCTGATAATCAGTTTCTACCAAGCGGTGCCTTTGAAAGAAGTCACTGGTTGGAAACACAGGACAAACATTCTAAGAAGTTTATCTGGGAAATGGGCATGAGACCCTCCCCTAAGCAAAGTGTACTCTTCCCCTGGACACGTGGGGCGTATGGTCCCCGCCCTGGTGCACGGCCAGCCTCCTTCCTGATCTCACCCCGTCCTCTGGCTGGCGGGGTGCGGCCACTGCTGAGTGGCCAGGTGCCTTTTGCTGAAGGTGTCTGAAGGAGTCTCATCAGTGCTGAGCACCCGGGGCCCCTGCTTTTCCGATGGGAAGGTCAGTGGTGCCGGAGGATGCTTTGGTCCATAGTCATTATTTTTCACCACTGCTACTCTAACAGAATCACCCTTGTTTTCTCTAACAGGAGAAAATTGGTTTTTATTGGCTAAACTTGTTAGCAAGAGGCTATGGGAGGCAAAATGGTTAAGAAACGTGGTGAAGAGGGCTTTCAGACTCTTCCCTGCCCCTGGGAAAGCCCCTAGGAGCTGCTGGACACTCTGACCCTCGGTCTTCTCACCCACCATCAATGAAAATGCCACCAACCCACTCCCAGGAGGACCACAGATGACACCGCGCACACGCCCCAAGCTCTGGCCCTTCCTTGCTAATGCACACACTGCGGGTGCACGGGCTCGTCTCTGGATGTTGGGAGGGAACAAGTACTTTCTTTAGCCCTGCAACGTGCAGTTCTGAACAGTCAGACAATCAAGGTACTCAGAAAATGTGTGGCAGAAAGAGAGAAAGAAAAAGATGTACGCGCCGAAGGCAGTTTGGCACATGTGGAATCCTTGTCGGAACCAGATTCTCTCGCTCTTGTTGGCCTCACAGATAACTATTCATATTCATGTTACACAGCAACGTTCTGAAATTTTAATTTGCCTTCGAAGTATTTAAGTTGTTTATCACAACTGTATTCATTTCACCTCCCATAATGTGTATGTGTGCATACTTGAGTGTGTATCTCAGCTCACATCCATGGAATAAAAAAAATTTAAGTCCATCTGAAGGAGCCACTTCAGAAGGATCACGCTGGGCCACCCCTGAGCGTAAAACCTGAGGACTCTACTAGTCAAGGGAGAGTCAAGACTACGTGTGCCAATGGGAATGCTAACCTCACAAAACAGAAGGACCGACGGACACCGACAGAGGGGGCGCTCATCCTCCCACGTTGCTGCAAGCCAGGGTCGGAGCAGCTGTCCCACTGGGATTCAGACTAGCCGCTCTCGGGGCAGACTCCGGCATTAGGAGGCCGCGGTCCCCACTGGAGCGTCACGACACAGCACAGCGCGGCTGCAGCAGACACTGTTCGCCCGGGTGCCGAGGTCGGGCCAGACCAAACGACTCAACCAGGCACACGAGGGGGACACCCGTGTCCCCAACGACCAGGCAACATCTGCCAGGACGTAGGCCAGCCAACGTGGGTGAACCAGTGAGCGGCAGGGTCCTGGAGCCCCACCTTGTAAACAGGAGCCTGCGTGATGGTGCGCTGCTGGCTCTGAGGGGACAGATTTCACAAATTAGAAGAACAGAACGTAACGTTCAGAAACGCGGACTCCGGCCCGCAGCCCCGGGAGGCCTTACCGTCGGCGGTGCCGGAGAGGCCGTCGGCTTTGAAGTTGCTGGTGCTTTTCTTCCTCCGGTGCTTCTTTCTGTTGGCGTGAGGGGAGGGGGGCGGGTCGAGCTTGGGGCTGGTGGTGCTGGAGATGCTGGGGCTGGAGCACACGGAGTCGCCCAGCCCCGTGTCTGCCACCGGACCGGAAAAGGCAAAAGAACGCAAAGGTTAACACTTACAAAGTGCACTTCGCCAGAACACTCCCGCAGAGCGCCTCCACGGTCCTACCAAGCCCCGCAAGCAACACCTGGTCTGGAGGCCCAGGGCGCCCCGCGTGAACGGGTCACGGCACCCCTTGCGCTAATGCGCCACCAGCCAATCGAAAGCAGCTCTCATTCCTGCATCGTCTTTATGCTACGGAGAATTGAAAGTTCTCTACTTTGCATGACCAGAGTTCTGGAAAAGGGAAGTGGGAAGCTCACGTCTTCTACTGGTTGATTTTTCTCTTCCCATAATTACCTTCATATATTAGGAATGAAAAAAGACACTTCGGAACACACTTGAAAGTGTCATCTTAAATGGGACTGTGTGTGTGTGCGCACGCGGGAAAGGCATTGACGATTCTTTCTTTTACTCCCAACATTACGTGCGACCGCACGGCAGTTTATTCTCGTGGGAAACGGCACGCCACCTCTCTCTCTCACCGTGTCCAGCGGAAGTGTTTGGAGGCCCACGTGGCTGACCTACCAATTTTTGATTCACAGATGCGATACACATGCACAAATGTGGTAATTCACTGCAAGTGAAATTCTCCATTTACCACGCCTGTTTTTACTTTATCCGAGAGAAGAACAAAATGCTGTTAGACCTGAAATGAACGTGTAATTCAACAGAGTGAAAACGCACACCAAGAACGGGACGGAGAAACACCATCCACACACCCCGAAGGCCTAAGAATTCTTTATTTCGTGATTCAGCATCTTTGTAACTCAAAAGACAGCAAGTTCTGTGCAATATATTTCACTCACTGAAGGAGCGTGTTTTTGGGCACCTGCTGTGGGCCGGCCACTTTTTTAGCTGCTTGGGAGCCATCACTGAGAAACACAGGTGACGGCTCCTGTCTGAGCGGCACTGACACGGTAGGGGGGGCCACCACCCAGAGCTCATCGCAAGGTGGTGGGTGCTTGCTGTGCGAGGGCAAAGGATTGGATGGAGGGGTGGGGTGGGGTGGCCACTGTAAACAGGGTGGACAGGGCGGGTCTCACCGAGAAGGTGACATGTTAGCCAATATCTGAAGATGGGAAAGGCAGAAGAAAGTGAACACGTGGGGGGTAAGGACATCGCCAGAACATGGGCCTACGACCAGGAGAGCATGCCTGGGGTGCTCTAGAGACAGACAGGACAGGTGACGATGGAGACTCACAGGAAAGGGCACTGGAGAGGGGGAGGGCTCTGCCTCAGGGGCCTTGCTGGTCACTGTCAGGACCCCCAGCTTTTACTCTGGGGGAAATGGGGGGGCCTCTGCAGGGTCTTGAGAAGAAGGATGGCATGATTCCAAATACAAAGATTGACTTGAGGTCAAACTGAATTTAAAATCTTTTAATTTTGTGAGGTTCTAGAACATTTTATCATTTATTGAAAAATGTTTTTTAAAAAACACTTTTGAGATACACATCTGGTTTCAAGAATGCCCTTGGACGCAGCTCCCTGCTATCCTGAGACCAGCGACTCCTTGCCCATCTTTGCACGGTGGGAGGGTCAGCCTTCCTTCCGTATTCCCATTCATGTGGAGGAAAGGATGGAGCCCCTCCTGGGAGAAGCTGCCTTGAGGAGCCTGGGACTCTAGGTTGACTCTGGAACCACAAAGTAGTCATTTCTTCTGTTCTCTCTCCAACTGGCCGCCTGCTCCCCACTGAAGCCACACTCACCCTTAGTCTGGTCCTTACCCCCCCAGGCCTGGATGGGGGCACGGCTAAGTGCAGAAGGGCTCTCTCCGGCTAGCTTTTCACCTTCGAAGCCGTCCCAGTCTTTTATAATATGAATTCTTACACGTCTTTTAAAAATACTAGGTCCCACTGAATATCAGACAAAAGCTGTAGACATACCTGAAAAAAAAAAGGCTACTCTAGTTACTAAGTGTGCCCTCTTTCAGGGGGCTCAAGAGCTGCGGGATGTTGTTAAGGGGTCCAGGCTCATTTGCTGATCCTAAAGCAACCCTTTTAATTGGGAGGGTATAGCTCAACTGGCAGAGCACGTGCTTAGCATGCACAAGGTCCTGGGCTCAATCCACAGTACCTCCTCCAAGTGTAAATAAACAAATAAACCTAATTACCTCCCCCACATAAAAACAACAACAAAAAAGCAAACCTTTTACATGTGAGTCAACGTTCAAACCTTACAATGAATACTTTGTACATTTCAAATATTTTCTGCCCATGTTTCAAAAGTTGTCACCCTCAGACCCCATCCTCTCTGATTCTTAATGTCAAGAGCTCAGCCTATGCCAGCCATGGTGACAGGTCACGGGGAAACCACCATCACAATGACTAATGACTGCAGCTCCCTCTAGTCACAGAGGCAGACGGGACCTGCAGGCAGGACAGCAGCCTCTGCTGCAGCAGGGCTGGGGTTTTATCTTATTTTTCAGTTTGTTCAATTTTTTAAAATTGAAGCATCATTGTTTTTACAATGTTTTAGGTATACAGCAAAGAGATTCAGTTTATATATATATAAATATATATATATATATGTGTGTGTGTGTTCCTTTCCAAATTCTTTTCCATTATAGGTTGTTACAAGATATGGAATACAGTCCCCTGTGCTATGTAGTAGGTCCCTGTTGTTTACCTCTTTTATATACAGTAGTGTGTATATGTTAATCCTGTAAATTCCTGATTTATCCCTGGCCCATCTCTTTTCCCTTTGGTAACCACAAGTTTCCTATGTCTGTGAGTCTATTTCTGTTCTGCAAATAAGTTCATTTTTATCATTTGTTAAGACTCCACATATAAGTGATATCATATATTTGTCTTTCCCTGTCTGGCTTACTTCACTTAGTGTGATCATCTCTAGGTCCACCCATGTTGCTGCAAATGGCATGGTTTCATTTTTATGGCTGAGTAGTATTCCACTGTGTTTGCATGTGTGTGTGTGTGTGTGTGTGTGTAAAACACTGGATTTCTTCTTCATCCAGTCATGTGTCAATGATAAAAGACACTGAGGCTGCTTACACGTCTTGGCTGTTGTAAACAGCACTGCTGTGAACATGGTGGCGGGGTGCATGCACCTTTTCAAATTAGAGTTTTTGTCTTTTCTGGGTATACGCCCAGGAGTGGGACTGCTGGATCACAGGGCAACTCTATTTTCAGTTTTTAAGGAGGCTCTATCCTGTTCTCCACAGTGGCTGCACCAGTTTTCATTCCCACGGGTTGGTATTTTATTATTTCACTCTGTCCCTCAGTTGTCCCCTCAATTCAATGCACAATGTTCATCCCCAACTATGCGTTTTAACCCTTACGTCATTCTACCGCTGTAATGTTCCCTCCCAAACTGACATTCCTCATCTCTGAACCCTACAGATCCTAGAGTTGGGGCTTCCTGCACTTGGCTGTCAGTTATCTGGATGTAACTGGCATGTCTGTTCCCCAGGCAGCTAAAGGTGCTCATTCCCTGCCCTCTCCATTCAGAGCCATACAGTGCTGAGCACACGGAGGATGCAGCAGTGTAGCATCGGCACCTGGATCCCTTCCATTCTCCAGCGGTTCTCTAGGCTGGGTACCAGTGTCGCTTTGTAAGATACTCAGAATATACGCAGAAGCTACACAGGCATAGCAGGCTCCCACTCACGTGTGGTGGCTCTATTTCTGGGTTCTCTGCTCTTCTCTAATCATCTTTCATCTCTCTGTGTGTTAACGGCACACGGTCCTGAACGATACAGCACAGCAAGTTCCCACGCTTTGTTATTCTTCACAACTGTCTTAGCTCTTCTTGGCTATTCTGAGCCCACAACTTTGTATATTCATCCAAATCAATGGAAAAGATATTAAACAAGGTGAGGTCAAGATAGAGCCCTGAATCTTCACTCACCAATCCACGCCTGGAAGCTTTTGAGAGTGATCACTGAGTAAGCCTTAGATACACCATATTGTCTGTGCATCCAGCTCAGATACCTTTGAACCTGCCCATAAAGAAACCACAGAATGACCTGGTCAAATGCTTTGTTGAAGGCTAGATGGGTACGCAACTTACAGATATTTTTGACAGTTTAAAACCAATAAAGGGAAATACATTTTAATACTTTTTCTCCTTAAATGAATTACCTCTGCTCAATGAAACCACTGTTTCCTATATTCTATGTGTACACAAAGCACTTATTTATTGATCTAATTCAGAATCCTACCTGGGCTGGACCTTAAAGTCACTGGCTCATGGCTCAGAATTCACCATTCTGCAAGCCAAAATGACAGGTGCCTATTTCTACACATCTCACTCCCTTCCAGCTGCAGAAAACTTGCCCCAAAGTAATTGGCAGGACATAGCAATCTCATTTCCAAGGTTTCTGAGTATCCTGGAATATATGTAATTCATGAAGAAATTCCAGCCTCACTTGAAAGTAGTTAAGTGCCAATCTCGAGAAGGAAATACTTGGAAGTGATGACCAACCCGCCTTTCTCTAGGGGACCATCAGAGCCAACCTCATTAACATCCTTTACAGCCTTCTTTTTTGGGGGGCATCCTTCAACACCAGTGGGTCTTTCCCCATGTGGTTCTGTATTTCCACTAATTTCCACTCACAACTGGGAACCCCTGCCCAGTGACACCTGGCAATGTCTGGAGGCATTTTTGGGCATCAGACCAAGCAGGGTGGAGGTGCTACAGGTACGGAGTGGACAGAAGCCTGAGACACCGAAAAATACCCTGTAACATGCAGGAAGGCCCCACCACAGGAACCCTCTGCCTAAAGTGTCAACAGCAAGAAGCACGCGGAATCGAATGGCTCTTCAATTCTTCAACCTTTCAAACTCCTCCTCCAGAATACGATCTGTTCGTGCAAGTCCCTCACACCAGTGACCTTCCCAGAAGGTCACTTTACCTGGAACGAGCCTGGCTCTCTCCTGGGGACACGTCTCCACCCCCACCACAAAGCACGCGGGCGGGCTGGGCGTCCTCCCTGCCCGCAGTTGCTGCCTGC